GGATCCGAACCCGGGGCCTTGGTGTTATCAGCACCGCACTCTCCCGAGTGAGCCACGGGCCGGCCCTCATATTGATGTGTTATATCAGAGCATTGATACTATCCTTTATGGAATTTTTTTACCTGAGTTTAATCTTCATGTACTTTTTAAAGAAATTTCATCACCTGTTTCTTCCCAGTGTGGGGCTAAGAAAGGAAATGGTAATGGAAACTTTGCAAGCCAAACATTTCCTTATCCCACAAGTATTCCAAATTAAGTGAAATAAAATTGATATTATGGTTGCTAGGTAAGAGGGAGGACATTTATTCTCTAAATCTTTTTGTTAAAAATGTTACAAATAAAATACAATTTGCAAGCATCCTCTATATATGGTCATTTTAGCAGGGAATGAAGAAAATTAGATATGAAGAAAAACACCTGAATTCAGTGACTAATACCACAAGAAAGAGTCCAAAGATTTCCCCATTAGAGATACAAGTTAGAATGAAGATATTGCAGCTCTCAAGCAAAAATAAAATACCAATATCAAGTTAATCTAAAATAAAATTTAATGTTGTCAAATGTCCTAACAGGATTAAGTATGACTAAATGTGACTGAGAAGCCCTAAGAATGGTGTCTTAAGTAACATGGAAATTTTTTTCTCTCTAAAATCAAAGACATCCCAGAGGAGGTGCTCTGGGGCTATTAGTGGTTCCACAGTGTCATCTGGGACCCAGCCAGGCTCTCTGTCACCTGTAGCATTGGTGCCTCTGTAACTCTAAAGCATCACCTTGCACTCAAGACTCTCTCAGCAGGAGGAAATGGGTCAGGCTAACAACGAAAGTCTTCCTAGTGGAGTCACCCCACGCTCAGCAGCACTCCTAGATGGCTCACCAACATTCCGCCTACATCTTAACCAAACTCAGTCACATGTCACATGTCCGCACAAAGCTGCAAGGGAAACTGGGAAATGTGATCCTTTAGTTGGGCACATTACTGCCCAGAAATAAGCGTTTCCTTCTTTCCTTTTTTTGGTGGTAATTTTTACTAAGGAAAAAGGGAACATGCTTATTAGAGTAAGTGGTTCCAACTGGTGCAAGCCTTGACTAGCATCCTGTCCATCCCCTGGCTGAGGGTTGCTTAGCTTTTGGCTTCAGATCACTTTTTACAGGGCTTATCACAGATTCTTCACTTGGGGGCCATGACTGCTAAAAGTGTATGAGCAAAATTTTATGAGGGGTGTGTATGATCATTACATGGGAGAATCAGCAGATTGTCAAAGGAATCTGTGACTACAAAAATAGTTGGGCACAATTTGTTAATGTTGATTGACAGCAAGGAGAAAGAAGTCAGTAATGGGCTCTTTTCTCATGTTTAAAGCTCCAAGTCATGGCACCCCTTTACTCTTTTCCTATGCAGTCTCGAGTGTGCCTAAGAGGGGAGTCCTGGTGAAATCGTTCACTAGCCCCAGTGTAAAATAAAGTAGTGTTAGTTAATACAGTTAAGACCAGAAATTGCAGATTTTTTTTCCTTATAATGTATGCTTACCTCAAAGACCTGTAAGTTTTCGAATTAGTTAACATTGCTATGTCATTGATAGCATGAAAAAACTTCATAAATCTCAACTCCCAGTGCTGGCTATTCCACACACCAGCTATGTGATATTGAGCTCATTTCGTTAGCTGTAAAATAATAGTATCTGCCTCATGGGGTCAGATTAAAAGTGATGGAGAGAAAAGCCCCCAGCCCAGATATGAAGAAATCTTAAATAAGTTTCTTATTTAGTGTATGTTTAGTGTTCCCTTTCTCTTTCAGTAACTTTCATACACAGGGGGCTTTCCCCAAATGATGCAGCACTAGGAACTTTATCACTTTACCAGTCCCAAGATAGAATTGATTAGAGCTGGGAGCTATAAATATAATTACTCCCTGTACTTGTGTGAAGAATTCTTTTGGTATTACAGAGTTATAAATGACTGTATTGTTAAAAGATAGTGTGCAGAGAGTTGTTTTCTGAGCCTGTAGGTCTTTGCAGGATAGGTACAAGGGCACTTCAAGAAGTTCATGGAATTTATTTGTATTTTTTAATTCTGTTTTTCCACAAACTTCTTGAAATATCCTCATATAAGGGAAAAATGAGTCTAGGACTATTGTCTAAAGGGAAAGAATTTAAGATAGAAACGGGCTTAAAGGTGGGATACAGGCTGGGAAAACTTAATTGTAGAAAATATGAGGAAATGGGCAAGTATATAAATTGACTGTTGAAAAGAAATCTGAATTTTATTCTCAACCCCAGAAGACTTCCATTTGGAGCTACCAGGCAATGCACATAAAAAAAAAAAATTAATTTTTTGATACCCAATGAAAATGAGACCATCTATGTAGTTACTGCATGGGTCAATTTTAATGATTCCTTTTTCTCCATTTTAGTCTCTGATGCCATATTTGGCCATATTGTCACAATATGTCTTGCAATTTGATGTATACTATCATACATGGGAAACACTGACATTGATGTGCAGAAGCCAAGACCCTGAAGAAAAGCTAATGAATGGATCACTGATTTGATTTTATTGTCAAATATAAGTAGTAATTAAGTTTACCATTTTGAAGAACAATCAAAAGTATTCTTCTCCTTAGTTAAAACCAAAACTTGAATTAGCTGGAAATCTGTGATGCCTCCTGATAGTGTTAGTTTGTGCATATTATACAGAGATTAAGATTAAGAGGAATGATGATGCTGAGAACACCCAGAGTAGCTACGTGACAAGTGCTTTACTGTTTGAACACTGCAAGGAGGGAATTTACGTAAGATCAGTCTGAAAAGTGGTTCTTGGATGTTTTGCTTTGATACTCTATTAATTGGTGCTGATGATTTTTCGTTTTCTGTTACAAAGCCTGTGATGCCAACCTTGCATCTTTTTCTGCAGGACAGAGGTCAGGTCAAGGCCAACCTTTCAGGATGACCTTCCCTTCTTAGAGAAGCCCCCAAGCAGGCAGGCTTCCTTACCAAACTTGTCAGGAGAAGAGCCTCAGCAGAAGACTACAACACTGGCGAATGAAGAAGCACTGCAGAAGATCTGTGCTCTTGAAAATGAACTTGCTGCTCTCAGAGCGCAGATTGCCAAAATTGTGACCCTGCAAGGGCAGCAACATCTCATTGCAGGTCTGTAAGTTGTCATTTGTTTGTTTTAACTGGCAAACTGGAAATTAGGAGAATGCCACTTGTTTTAAAATTCACTAGTAAGTAACAGCCATTTAGTGTTAGAAAACAAAGTGTCAGTCCTCTTTGCATAATCTAATGCAGAACCCAGCCAGGTTTAGGGGTGTTTATTTGTTTTGAACAGTCTTGAAACTATCAGAGAGGATGGTTAGGAAATATCTTTGGAAAACACTGAAATTCATGCAGTTGAATTGTTACTATTGTGAATGTTTTTTTTCTCATGGGAAACTTAATTGTCTGTGATAATGGCACCAACCATATCAGACATGAGGTTATCCCATGGGCTTCTGTCTATTTAGTGAAAGGAACCTGGGTTGAGTGGTGTTTTACTACCTGCATGTCCTGAGGCAAGCACTTGACCTTTCACCTCGCTTTCCTGCTCTAAAATGGTGATAATAGTACCTGTTTTATAGAGTTATTGTGAGAATAAATGTAGAAAGTATATAAAATGCCTTTAGCACACAGAAGCTACTTAATGATTGTTCCTGTAACTCTTACAGAGTAGAAAATGAATTCAGTCTTCTGATCCCTGGTCTGACACTGTTTCTTTTATTATTGTGGCATCGTCACATTGGGGAAGAAACCATAGCCTTGAAATCCTAGCCCACAAATCTGTTGGCAAGTAATGGTTGTTCTCCTGTTGTTTCCAAGGTCTGGCTAGACTCAGTATTAACCAGCTCTGTGGAAAAAATAAGACAATTAATTACCCTGCTTCTGAGCCACTTTGCTTGTGCTTCTGGGGTTTAATGTAATGCAACAGGGAAGCCTCCTCCCACTGGGCACTGCTGAGACAAACTGGGGAAGCAGGGTGCCAGAGGGTGGTCAGTGTTACTTGAATGAACTTTGCATGAGCATGTAACTTCTTAAAAACCTGAAGTTCTGCTTTTTTCTTTTCTTAATTTTAAATTGCTTTTTTCTTTTGCTTTACCTCCCTCTTCTGGCAGACTAGGAAAACTACCATAAATAGCAAGATAATTTTAGAGTTTATTTTTAGATGTTGTATTTGTGGTCTGAATCTTTGCATCAGTGCTGTTTTTCCTGCCAACCAATATAGTTCACCCAAAAGACAACTCTGTAATCTGTTACTATGCAGAAAAATTAATTTTAGGTCCTTATTTTATAATCTGTGTCTCTTATCCTAGATACTTCTTGTTTTGGAAACGAAGTATAATACTTTTTTTCTTCTTCAAGTTTGTTCAACAGTAAATCTAAAACTTTCTTCCAGACACATTCTAATGAATGTAGGCTTTTAATGCTTAATATGTCTCATATGAAAATACTCTTATACTTAAAATGAATCACAAATTTATCAAAGTGTTTTCAAATAGGTAAAGTAGTACTAAATTGTCAAACTATGTGGTGAAGGTGGAGGTGTTTATGCAGTACAGACTGCTTTATATTTCTGCTAAAAGTGATTACAAACTGTGCCACAAACTTGAGCATTTGATATCACAAAAACACCCCTGTTAAGTTAAATGGAACTTTTCCATCTGGACAGTTTAGGGTTGAATGATACCGTGGCTGAGATTCAGGTATTCCTCATGAAGTAACTGAAACTGCCTTTCTCTGCACATAACTGAAATTCTTTTTAAGGATATTGTGTTAGGAATACAAAAGTCCTTAACATAATTTTGCTTTTAAAAACTGATACTTTCTTTGCCTGTTACCAGCAGGATTAAGTTCATTTTTCCTTGTTTTTATAGGTCACATAGATTCTGCCACATCGGTTAGCTCCGCACCGCCCCCTCCTCCACCGCCCCCACCCCCGCCCCCGCCCTTCCCTCCACCGGGGCTCCACCAAAGTGCATCTGCTGTTGACCTGATTAAAGAGCGAAGAGAGAAAAAAGCCAGTGCTGGGAAGACTTTGGTTAAGAACAATCCAAAGAAACCTGACATGCCAAATATGCTAGAAATCCTTAAAGATATGAACAATATAAAACTTCGGTCAGTAAAGAGGTGAGGATACAATTACCTTCTTTCTTACCACCCCAATTGTTTGTCTGTAAAGCCAAAGCACTGGGCTTCTTGAGAAATTTTGTTTTGTAACACAACCACCATGAATAGTTAAGTTTTTAGTTTAAAAAAGATGAACCCCAGTGACTCCTGTACACAATAGCTAAGAGATTAGCAAAATAATTTCCAGGTGATGTTTTAGTTTCTCCATTTCACTTAAATATCAGCCCTTTCATGTAAAGTCTTTATTGTGATCACCCAGTCATTCATTTAATAAAGGTGTGTTGTGTAGTAGTCACTAGAGCTGCCTGGAAGATGGAACCTGATTGCCCTGTGGAGCATAGTCAGTGTTCTGGAGGTGCATTAAGTGGCTCTTTATTGGACTTTTGGTGCTCTTTTGTTGAGCCTTAAACCTTGGCTCCGTCTCACTGTTAGCAGTATTTCTCAGTATCTTTCTGGAGTAACTGTGATGCTAGAGAGGTGCTGTTGGGCATGGGAAGGCTGGCACAGTACTTCCCTGAGCGATGCCAGCCTGGTGACCCCCCTGAACACGGTTGGTCTCTGTTCACTTCTTTAAGGTCAGAACTGGATGTAAAGCCCAAGCCAGTGGATGCTGCTGACCCTGCTGCCCTCATAGCAGAGGCTCTGAAAAAGAAATTTGCGTACCGCTATCGAAGCAATAGCCAAGATGAAGTTGAAAAAGGAGTTCCAAAGTCTGAATCAGAGACAGTATTGGTGAGTATGAGCCCAGGTTTCTTTCCTGTGACACGGTAATTTTACCCTACTGTTAAGCACCTATATTTTGCAAGTCATTCAGCTACGTCCTTTGCAAGATTCAAGGGGGTATGATACAGGATTTGTCCGTACCTACAAGTAGATTGCTAGCTGGGAAAAGGATGACATCTTTGTTTAGTTTTTATACTTTTATTTTTCTAACTATAAAAGTAATAGTTCATTTGGAAAATTGAAAAGAAGAGCATAAAGAAGAAAGCAAAAGCTAACCCCTGATCTCACTCCTTAGCGATCTTCAGTGTTAAATTTTACATGCAATATTATGTTTTTATTTAAGCATAATGAAGTTCACTTTAATAAAATTTGTGTTTTAGGGCAATATATATTTTGTGATATAGAAATTTAAAGTAAAGCAAGATCATTTTCTCTCAGGGAATCCTGTGAAAGTCTTCTGAAGAGGGTGAGATTTGATGTGGGCCTTAAAGAATGTGTGCCAGGTCATAGGTAGAGTGAGCAGTTTTCATAGAAGCTCTCAAATGCTAATTTATACATTCCCTTTATTCACGTTACCAGCATGGGGATATTTGCTTATCTATTCCAGAAAGAGAGCTCAGAAATTGTAGCACCATTGAAACTCTTTAGTCACTGAAAAGGAAACTTTGTATTACCTCCCTTTACTGAGAGAAGTAAAATTGGACTAAAATAGGGTATTGCTAAGATGATTGTAGTTTTCCTTTCAAAGAAGTAATTTGGTTGCCTCTTTGCCTTTCATGCTGTTGATAAGTCCTATGTTTAAAACAACCTGTCAGTTCATAAAAGTGAATTATTACCAGTAACTGCTTGGTTTTTCATGCAGAACATACCTAGCCCTCTGATCCATGATGGGGGCGGGGGGCGGGGGGGGCATATCATTGCTGTTATATGAACCAATATTTTTACTTATACTTTTTGTTTCCTTTCTAGTTTGGTCCACATATGTTGAAGTCTACTGGAAAAATGAAGGCTCTAATTGAAAATGTACCAAACTCCTAAAGACAGTGAGCTGAGGACTATCCTGGTTCAGTTATTGGTTTGTGAGGGCTTAGTCTGGCTAGAAGAAATCAACACTATTTAGTAAATTCCTGAGTTTAGAACTCAGTGGTCTCCTTATAAACCTAATTAAGAGGATTAAGCAATAATGAAAGCACTATAAGTTTGGTTGTGCTTTTATGAGATGGTCAGTTCTGGAGCTCTTCATAATGTGTGTATATTCTGACATGTTTTTATTATGCAGCCAGAGTGTTCTGGTTTCCAGTCTTGAAAACAGTTGTATAGATTTCAGAACATAGGAAGGACATTTGTGGATGTTACTGTACATTTTACATTCTTAACACTAATTTATCTGTACAAACGTTTTATATGCATATATTTGGATTTAGAGCAGTTCATGTAAAAGTAAGTAATGGATGATGGCAGTGAGGGTACTGTTATCTTCATTCGTTTCCAATGATCATTTACTATTCATTGATGGAACAGCTGGTATAACATAAGTTGTTGGAATGAAATATTTGAGATTGGAATCTTCTTGCCTTGAACAGAACTTATATCTTAGATTCTCTTTCACATTTTGTTGGAGCTAGGTTTGAGTAGGAACCAGAGGGATGTTCACTGCTGAAATTCCACAGTGCTTTCCATTAAAGGAAAGTTGAGGACCAGAAAAGCTGCTTTCACCTCAATGCCATCCAGTGCTAAGGAATAAAATATAGTTTTCAAGTAGTGACAGATGAATTATTGAATTAAAGTCCTTTTTAAGTAAAAACCAGAATGTACCATCTTTTTTTTTTCCAGTTTAATAAATGGCGTCATAAAGGTGACTTGTTGCTAAATTAATACTTCTGTAAATGTCAGCATGATGGAGTTTACAAATTTTCAGTATTGGTCAAAATATTAACTTTATAATGAAACGTTATTGGCTAGGCAAATGGATTTCCTATAAATTGTTCATCATTGGTCAGAATGCTGTTTTGTTGAATTATATTATGCAGTATAAACCTGAGGTGTTATTAGAAAGTGAAGAACTGCCTTCTCATCTGGGGCTTCTAAGGATTTGCTATAAGTGATCATTTTTAAATGCTTGATAAGTGCTTGATAAACTCAGCTCTAGTTAATGCCAGAATATCCTACCATGAGTAAATGTTTGGATTTATTATTTAAATCTACTAAAAGAAAGTTATACTTCCTGAGAGGATTAAGAGATGGGAAGAGTAGACAGACATGCACTTTTAAGTTATTGAAAATACGTGTTGTTCTCCTAAATATTAACAAAAACTGTTTGAGGCAGTTAACATGGTTTGGTGATTCAGCTTAAATTTGAACTGTGGTTTATTTTACCACATGCACGTGTTGATGTTCATTGTTTCTAATTTTTTTTTATATGGTTTGAAAATTCTACCTTTAAAGAAATTCAGAAAATTCGCCTGACTCATATTTTGACCTCCTAAGAATTTTATATTTCTATCAGTATTCAGTTTTGGCTGGTGCTCCAATATAAGGAAGTTACTGTTTTAAAAATAAAGCAAACTTTTATTTTCCTTGGACCATACTGCCTATATATTTTTTTATCTTTCATTTTTACAATGAATAAGTAAGATTCTTTTATATTACACATGTAGCTTCTTTAGAATAATTTCCTTTCTGCATTTTTCAAATGGAAACATATTCCTTAAAATAAATTTTATCACTTCTTATTCAGTTTTTCTCTTAATGGAACTTCAGCATTAAAAACAGAAGGGTAGTCATGAGGTATCCAAGTTTTCTCAGGGTTCTGAAACCCATAATCCACTTCTGAGGCTGGTGAAATCTGTCCCATCTTTTCCTACACCCACCTCATTCAATGTCTGGATTTCTCACCCAACACAATACCTGACGTCAAAAAATCATAAGGAGGCTCAGAAAGGTAAGTAACTTAGTATATTTTGTCTACTATGAATTCTGACTGGATCGGGGACCCTCATTTTTGATAGATAGGGAGAAAGAGAGAGAGAGGTGGCGGGAAGGGGAATGAGAAAGAAAGAGAAAATATCTGAGACAGAGCACTGGACCTGGAGCTTTGTATGATCTTAGCCAAGTCACACCCTCTTTTAAAAAATGGGAAAGATAGTCAATAGCTCAAAAACTAATTAAGGATTAAATGAAGTAATGATTTTGAGCACATTCTATTAGAGTGCTAAATAAGTTATCATTATTACCGTGGCATCATTTACGTGAGGTCTCTGTAGTTTCCAATGGAGTGATTGCTCCTGGAACACGTGGTTCCCGGCACCTGCAAGAGGTGCACACCATGCACTTCCTGGCACAGGCCTGGCGTGGGAGGGGCAGTCCTTACTGTCTTTAGTCCTGGTTGTCTCCCCAGACATAGGCCCTTCTGCATAAGACTTTTATCTTCTTGCTACACAAGGGATCTTCAGAAGTTCATCGCAGGATTTGTATTATCTTTGTTTTTCCACAAACTTTTTGAAGTACCCTGGTATTAATAATTCCTCTGAGTCTGTGTCTCAGTGGTGAAGAGGAAGCCATGAGGTAATAACTACTAGAAACAAATGCTTTGGAAAAACTATCGTTCTGATAACATCTCCAAAAATAGAAGTTCTCTCTGTGGGATGGAATCTGGCAAATAGAAGTTTAAACTTTTAAGAATTCACCCAACAAAGTCATCCTGGGATTGCCAGGCAGAATGAAACACTTGGTTTTATGATAGACTGTCGTTATGTCCATCATTATCACAGTATTTCTCATGAGCCTTCATCCATTTTTAGGATTCCATTCCTGTGTCCTTCTTCCCCTTCTCTTGAGATTCAACGTTCTTCTGAGCTGCTCTATTGAACCTATTTCTTAGGATTCTTCTCAGACTTTCCTTGTAATCCTTGTAAGCGAGCTAGCTCTTCATTGGTCTTAGTGCCTTGAACAGACAGGAGAGTAAAAATAACAGAAGCACCGACCCCGTGGCTCACTCGGGAGAGTGCAGCGCTGGGAGCACCGAGGCCGCGGGTTTGGATCTTGTATAGGGATGGCTGGTGCGCTCACTGGCTGAGTGCAGTGTGGGCGACACCACACCAAGGGTTACAATCCCCTTACCGGTCACAAAAAAAAAATAAAAAATAAAAAAACAGAAGCAAGTAAGGATCCAGAACTCGTGCACATCTCCCTCTGAGACAGTTGTTCTTAGCCCACTGCATGTGAGCTAGAAGCCCTAATGTTCCTACAGCTGGCACTTCCCAAATATTCTCCTCTGGTAGATTCTCTAGCCCCCTGTAAAGGTGACAGGAGGCTCCTTCCCTAAGGTTAGAGTAGAACATGAGTGTAATTTAGGTTTCCTCAGGACAGTAAATGGTAAGGTTACCCAGATAGGCCTCCCATTCCATACCAAATGGCTATTACAGGGCGGTCCTTCACAATTGCTTTCTTCCCAGGTGGAAAAGCCGTAACTTGGGGAGAAAGGCCAGACTCTTCATAACATTACCAAAGGTATAAAAAGCTTTTTCATGTTGCCTAATTGCCACCACTCTAGATTGGCCAGATAGGCTTTTCATCAAAGGCAAAAGAAGGTGTATTCCCCAGGGAATTATGTTGTAGAAACCGGGTACTGTCATAAGGATGAAAAGGGATGAGAACTAGTGTATGGTTGGGAATTTGTTCTGAAATAGCGGGTAGAGAAGTACGTAAGGCACTGATCTCAGGGGTCGGGTTTTCAAGGTGCCCCTTAACCTCTGCCTTCCCTTTTGCAAGGGGAACAGCTGGCAATGCACAGACTGTTCTGTGGCCAAGCACAGGCTGGATGAGCTGTTCCAGTCAGATTCTCCCTCAGGAATTTGAATAGGAAACCTTGAGAGAGTGAGGCATTTAGCACCAGGAGCCGGATAAGGATGTCATGAGGTACAACTGTATCCATGAGGAATTTATATGAAGCAGAGATTATGAGGAAGAAGAAATGAAATAGGAAGAAGACTCAGTGATCACTTCTTCGGCACTTACTGTGTCAATACATAATTTTACTGTAAGAGGCAGACATTTTATAGGTTAGGAGCCACTCATAAAATTAGGTAACCACCCAAGGACCCGAACCCAGGTCAAGCTGTAAAGACAATGCCTTTAAGAGACTACACTACTTTATCCTGCCTTCCTAAGAGAAGCTGCAAGGTAGAGAAGAGACGGGGAAGGGATGGTAGTGTGGAAAAAGCAGCAGAGGGAGCAACAAGCTCCATCTCAGCACTATTAGATTCCAGGTTCTGCTTCCTGCAGTCAGGCCTCCTGCACGTGATCCTCGTGATAAAGCCCCCAATACCTGAGGTAATCTGAGTCTCTGTCCCCTGTAATGGAAAAAACTAACCCCTATCTGGTGATGATTCTTCGATGGAAATTCAAAAGCTCTGTTTCCTGCAAATATTCAACTAGGAACTTTTAAGCACTGTTATTAAGTGCATGTTTGTGTCTCCCCCCAACCCCAAATTCCTGTTTAAACCCTTACCCCAGTAGGATGGTATTAGGAAGTGGAGCCTTTGGGAGGTAATTAGGTCGCAGGGTGGAGACCCCTGATGGGATTAGTGTTCTTTTCTTCTCCTCATCACATGAAGATACAACCAGAAGTCTGGAAGGGTTCAGAACGGGACTATTTTGACACTGATTTCGGATTTCCAGCCTCCAGAACTGTGAGAAATATCTGTTGTTTTGGGGTCATCCAGTTCATGGTACTTTGTTATAGCAGCCTGAGTGAAGTAAGGCAAGCACATTCCTTTATATTTCCTTCAAAAAGTTCATATTTAGATATATATAAATTTTATAAATTTCACCTAAGATAAGGTAACTTGAAATATCATTACAGTCTCCTGATTCTTTACAAGATATGGCTCAATAATAAAAAAAACCTTCAGATCTATGTTCAAAAAATTTCATATAAATGCATAGCTTAAAGATAAGTGTTGTAATATATGACATAATTTCTTAAAGACTATTGATGAGACTACTGGAAAGCTGCAATAAACTTAAGTTACTGTGCTTCAGTTTTAAATTAGCCACCAAGAAATCTAATATTAAAATGGAGGTGTTTCTATCCTTCCCCCACCATCCTACCAAACTTTAAGATGGGTTTCAGGACAACTTCGAAAGTGTAGGTATAAAACTAAAATATCATTGAACATTTAAAACTATTTTTAGAATCAAATTTGAGAGCTAAGTGATTTTATCAATCATAGATGTTAACAATGAAAAAACACAAGGATTACTTACTAGAAATGGTGTCATCTTCATTAACTGAGCTAAACCACTGTTTCTCCTAAACAACCCCCAATAAAATATGGAAACCTGCCATACTATATGAGAAACAGTTTGCACACATTGTTCTGTCACCCAAACATTTTGAGAACAGAGACCATGGTTTGTAATTTTTAATACCCTTTTTATTACATCCAGTGCCATGCTCCGCACACATCAGGAACTCAGATATTGTTTACTACATGACTTCACCACAGATGAGTTTCAATATAATTTCTCTTAGTCATATACTGATAGCTAAAAAGGGAATACATTAATTTCAAATGAGTTTGTTCAACAAGTGTTTACTGATGGCCCAATTTATGCCAACTTTCTGCTGAGCACAGGAACCAGGAAGATGGAGAAGGTCCGCTGTGTGCCCTCCATCAGCTCACCTCCAAGTAGTGGTCATCCTCCCTGCGACCGTGGACCCTTGGAAGCCTTCCAAATTGCACAAGTCATCTGCAGGTCCTGAGCAAGTAATGGCTGCAGAGCAAATCTTACACCTACCTCTATTACTATGTTTCAATGTATGCTGATGCTACGGTGATTAATATGCACATTTCTTCAAAAGCAATACTGAATTCATGTTAGCTATTGGTCATTGTGTATTTTCTCAATCAGGAGATACTGATTGGGAAGGGATTTAAACAATATGTATACATTAAATATTTATACATGCTTGAATTCATTGGAAATCTCTGATGTGAAAGGTTTAAAGTTTTAAGAGATTAGAAAGCTTAAAAGCCAAGAAAGCATTTTGGAAAAAGAGACCATTTTCAGAATCTTCAAGGAATTACTAGCACCTCTAATCTGTACCTCAGGTACAAATATATTTTCCAGGTTTGCAAAGGACATAAAATATAATTTTTACTTCTTTTATACAAAGAGGATCATTATAAACCATCACATTTACAGCTGAGTACAAATATTGACCAGGAACCATAGTTTTTTCTTTTTTCATTAACCTAGGACTTGTCAAAATTTTCTCTCCAAGGACCTTTACCCCTAGAGCAGGGACGCCCCCCCAAGTGTTGGGCCCAGAGACCCAAAGGGCTGCTCCATGCTCAACAATTTTTTGAAGTCTGTTTTATCTTGAAAATTCATGTGAATTTTCATTGTTCCATAATTACTTTTTAAAAACTGTGATCTTCTAAATACTTAACCATTTCCTCAGATTTTTCTAGAAAAATCAATGCTCAAGGAATATGGGTCTTATTTGAGAACCAGGGCTGTGGAAGGTGATTCCCACATATACACAACAAAATAACTTTTCAGTGAGGTTTTTTGTCTGACGATACTGCAAAGAGTTAGTGGAAAAATAAAAGAGAATACATATCTTTCCATGAACTTTTTGAAGAACCCTCATATGTGTAGGCAGGAAATGGGAGCAACACCAAGGTGTCCCCTGAGAATGTGTAAATGAGAAGATAGTCCACTGAGTATTAAACTGTAAGACAAACATAATGGATCAGAGCAGAAGTAAGCAATCACTCAGAGGCAGAGTGGAGCCTAGGGAGGCTCATCTGAAGCACGGGTGAAGGCGATGACGTGTCTAATGGATGTGCCAATCAGAAGCCGATGTGGAGGAGCAACGACTGGCAGAGAAATCTCTAGCATCGTCCAGGGCTAGGGGATACCCTGGTCCACAAACATGAATATCAGCAGGTGTATCCCCATAGGGAGATGGATGCATGAGGCAACTTGTTTCCCTTGCTCAGAATCCATGCTCACCAAGCAACCGGCTGATCATAATTTGGCTTCCCAAGAAGATTTGCCTAAAGGGAGAAAACGATTGATAGTTATATTTCTCATTGTAAATTAAAATATTGATACTATTTTTTAAAAATATCAGTTACTGTGAGCTTGGGTAATGGGAGTTTGCCATGAGATAGTTCTACTATGTGCTGACAAACTGGGTCAGTGAACTTGTAAGGATCTTTATCAGACTCTGAACACATCAAATTTGCCAAGGTGATACCACCTTATATGAGTGGCCAGTTGACCTTCCGCAGGTAACATTTAACTCTGTGACCCTCAGACCTCTGGATCTACATTATCCAATACAGTAGACACTAGCCATATGTGGATATTGGGCACCTAAAATGTGACTAGTCCAAACTAAGATGTGCTGTAAGTATAAAATATACACAGAATTTCAAGGACTTAGTACTCAAAAAGAAAGAATGTAAAACATCTCAATAATTGTTTTTTATATTGACTACCCATTGAAATGATAAAATATTTTAGATATATTGAAATAAAATGTTATTAAAAATAATTCCATCTCCTTTTTGTAACGTACTAGAAAATTGAAAATTACTTTTGTGGCTTGCTTTATTTCTATCAGACATCATTCTATAGAAATGACAGTATGTTTTATTTTAAAATTTGCACTATATCCCCTCTAGGAAGTTGGACCTAGGAAGATACCAGAGGCCCAGTGGCACCTTTTTACATTGATATCAATCAAGAATTAAGTAGCCATTTCTTGCTACTTTACTTTAAAAAGGCCAATAATAGAAATAAATACAACTAGTATTTTAGTTCTTGCAAGACATGCTGATGTCTTATGCAGTTGCTAAGTGTGGGAACAAGAGGCTGTGGAGTCAAGAGGCCTGGCTCAAAGCTGACCCGCTACCCTATATTAGGACTCTGAACATACTATGTAAATGGTCTTCAGCTTGCTCACTGGTAAGGTGCAGGCAGGTAAGAGTAGATAACCCCATAGGATGGTGCTACCCACAGCCGTGACAATACACATCTGACAAGTGAATGCAAGAGCCAAGAAGTTAACTTTGATGTCCTAGTAATTTAGCATTGCAATTTTCAAAGGATTGAGTTGTATGGTAAATATCGAAGATAAAAATGTGAAAAGATAGGTTTTTATTCATCAAAAATTAACAGCAACAGGCACATATTAAAGTGAGTATGGCAAAGCCTTTTACAAATGGCTTTACACTCAAGCTTTCTCCCCAAAAATGGCTGTTGCAACAAACTGTAAACATAATTAATAAACAGTCTTTTACAGTAACAAGGGAAATACAAGTGAACTAAAAGAAAGCACCAGTTTCTCTTAAAACTAGATTACAGTTGTGCTTACTGTACATAAAACAATTTGAAACAAATTACAAAAGTGGAATGTTTTAAGTTTAAAATTAGTCCTTAAATTTTGTCCTAGAAAACATCTGTTCACATCAAAAGGCCCATCAAAGGGTAACGTTTCATCAAAGGGAGGGACAAGAAAACAATGCACTTTTTCCAAATCAAAACAAGAAGTTTGGTCACTTAGCTTTGTGCATAGTTAAGGCAACTGGAGCAATCTGTTACAGCTAACCTACCTTCCTTCCCCTCCCCCAAGTGTGGCTGCTCATTATGTCACATTCTAAAATAATAAATAAAAGCTTACATTTCAAATCCTTCCCACATGGATAAACATAACACATGCACAGTCATACATGCACAAACATGCACGCACACATCCATACATTCACACGAAACATACCTCTCACTCACTGCAGCGAAAGGGACTTTAGTACCCTTGATCTGAAGGACACACTTCCCCATCCCACTTTATTTCAGATTGGCAAATACCCTGAGCTGATTATGGTGTTTTAAACATTCCACCTTTTTCTTGCATGTCCAGGTAAGTGTACAGAGTGAAAACAACATGCAATGTCTTCACTGCAGAATCATAACACAGCTAGGACACTGGTGGTATTCTTCCCCTCCCACCCCAAATTAAAAACTAATAGTTAAAAAATAATTGCATTGCCCAACAGCACTGGAGCTAAAGCTTGGCGGAACTCTATGATAAACGCTGCTTCCAGTGCACAAAATAAAACTACAGCAAATGGGAGACTTTGGTGGCATCCAAAGAAGGAAAAAGGCAAACCAGGGGGATAGAGCTGCAGTCTAAGTTTTGATCTTTAAATTTTTCAGTGGTTCCTTCACAATCATGCTCCCAGGCAATTTAGAACCAATATTTTCCGAGATGATTTGTAAACACTAAGTCTTGCCAGAGGCAGCAGAGGCTGGGCACTTCACATTTCCGTTTTCTCAGGGAGAACTTAGTGGAAGGTACAGATACACACTGTTGCATCGGACTGGTTAAATTCCAAGAGATTGCTGCTGAAAGATTCAGTTCAAGTTTCATGGTTTGAAGAATAAATGCTTTGAAAAACACGTGGCACACCTCAAAACTTCCTTTGTAACTCCTTTCCGACTGTCTCCTGCTGGGCTTTGCATATTCAAGGTTTCACACAAAAGCCAAATGCATATTGCTATGTGTTCAGGTCTTATAATTAAAAAGTGGGTTCAAATGATCCAACAGAGGAAGTCTTGGAAATAAATAATGCTGGCATCATTCACTTGGAAACCTTGGCAGTCAAGAGTAAGTTCTCTCACCTCAAGACCCCATTTCACATTTCTAGTAACCTCCAGGAGGCAGTCTGTTCCACTGGTTCTGAGGGTCTTATGATGATCGATTTTCCTGAGGTAATAACTGTGAGTTCAACTCAAACGCAGTGTTAGCGTCCTCACTGCTGGACTGTTCTCGCTGCAGTCCCTTCCAGCTGGCTTTGTTCAGCCCCACATGTCCGAGCATTGTCTGGGATAGTCTTGTATTTGAAAACCTGGCCCATTCTGTAAATAAAGGCTCCACTAAGTAAGTCATAAAACCTTGAAAAAAAATAAGAGAAAAAAGTTACTAACATGTTTTGAATCTTTATCTGTACACCATCTATACAGTGTTAACCTTAAGTCCTATTCCAATATTACCTAAGTCTTAGTTTTCAAAAGATTCTAGTGTGTGCATATAATTTACATATTTTCTCTGAAGAATCAATTTCTTAAGTAACTCAATGGAATGTTAAAGGTGAACTGACATATCAAATCTTTTCTGACTTCCTCTCAGCTACACAACCACATCCTTCTACTTAAGCAAATGTATCAACTTTCTGAGGATACCAGGGCATAACACAATTGAAGGGACAGTTCCCATGTGAGGCTGTAGGCTGAGAGGGGGTCTCTTGCAGGAATGTGGTGATGAGGCCTGAATTGAAGTGGAGCTGGAGGTGATACCAGGGCATAACACAATTGAAGGGACAGTTCCCATGTGAGGCTGTAGGCTGAGAGGGGGGTCTCTTGCAGGAATGTGGTGATGAGGCCTGAATTGAAGTGGAGCTGGAGGTGGTTTACTGCTTTACCCCTCAGGGATAGAGATCTGCATACCTGGTCACGATTACAATTGGTCATTGTATTTAACTCAGAATGTATAAAGTCGAAACTTATAACAAGAATCAATCAGTCTAAAAATAACAGGGGAGATTAGTTAAAAAAAAAATTGTCAAGGTAAACACCAAACATGGACCAGAGTCCTATTTAATAGACAACGCATATAACAGATCTCCCTTTATTCACAGACAGAAAAGGAAATGAGTAACTTCAGGACTGTTTGCATTGTTAGCACACCACTGTACCTTATATCTGATGTAATACTACACTGTATCTTATAAAGAGTCAAAAGAAGCCTCCTAGAAAAAAGCTTATCAATCAAATATATATGGGGAACAAATCATACCTTACTAAAATTTTGATCTATTAAGGACAGGGAAAATATACATTCAAATTCTATCATTGCTTTTGTAACAGTTTTTAAATTTCCTTCACATCCAAGTCTTCATTTGTAGCAAAAGACCATGTAAACCACAGACAACATAAAGGTTCCATTTAGCCAACATAAAAATCTCACTGAAATAAAGCAAATAACATGCACTTTTAATTAGGAAAGTCATATATGGTCTGATGGTTGAATTTTTTCTGAGTGTATATAATTAAGGGATCTGAAAGAGTAATTATGATATCTACAATAAGGCTTTTTTTCAATGATCCATTCTCTCCGCACCTATTAACAGAGTGAGAACCTACTATGTGCCAGGCACTGTTCTAGGGTGGCTGGAGATATAGCAGTGGATAAGACCAGATCCCTGCCCTCAAGAAGCTTAGGTTTGGGTGAGGAGAAAGAAATAACAGAAAAATATCATTGCTGCAGTTAAAGGACACAGCAGCTTTTCGGCAGCCAGCCCCACAATCCTGGGCCACGTTAAGCCACCCGCCCCAAGCCCCATCTTTCCTGTGTCATGGTTAAGTCATGAGCAGCTGAATTCTGTGCCCAAATGCAGAATCCTATCGTAGGGAAAATTCAGGAAAATGGTCAGGGCCCCTCAGATGTTCAGAATCTTGCTGAGCATTTGAGGTAAATATGCACGTGTGCCCAGGTGTTCCTTGGCTATTAATGTAATTGCGCATGTGCACCCAGGTGTCCTGGGTTATGGACTTAAGTATAAAAAAGGATGCTCTGATCCACCGCATACACACACCCCTGCCCCCGGGAGGCCCCTGGTGGGGCCACGGGGAGGCTGCTACTGCTGCTGGAGGCTGTTGTTGCCGATGCCAAAAGAGGCCACTGCTGCTGCTGCTGCTGCTACTGCTGAGAACTGAGCTTGTGTCGTCTGCCAACGGCTCCCACGATCTTTCCCAACTACCTAGCATGGACATCCATGTGAGGGGGCTGGTGACCCAGTCTGTACAATGGGTTTGAAGGGTCTGAGCCCTAGCCCTGACAATACAAATGGAAACTTAGTGTAACTAAAATAATGAAACATTTTGGCTTTAGTTATGAATTGCCTAGCCATACACTTGGCATAGTCCTCTAGCAATACACTTATCGTCACAGGTCTTAGAGGATTCATCTTCCTTGATTCCTTCCATTGTCCTAGCTGGTTGAGATCTTTGGGGATCCTGCCTCTAACATCCAACAAATCAGCTATCACTTCAGGCTGTATGTTAACCTAAAATCCTTTTAGGTCAGGCCGGCCCGGAGGCGCACTGCTACAGTGCGCTGCTTGGGAGCGCGGCGGCGCTCCCGCTGAGGGTTCGGATCCCACATACAGACCGGTTCCCGCTCACTGGCTGAGCGAGGTGCGGGCGCAACACCAAGGGTTGTGATCCCGTTGCCGGTCCCGGTCTGGTACGGGTGCAACACTGAGGGTTGCGATCCATTGCTGGACACGAAAAAAGACAAAAAGGAAAAAAAAATCCTTTTAGGTCTTAAGTACCCGATAAATATGAATAGACTGGGGCCAAGGACACAGCCTCTAGGAGGGCAGAACTATTAATTAGTACCTTGAGCATAGCTGTTCAACCATTTGTTAATCTACCTAATTGTACTAGCCCCACATGCCTGTACCTTATCTTCACAGATTTCACAGGATGCCTAGTCAAATGCCTTCCTCTTATCCAATACATATCTTCTTGTTCAACAAAACTAGTATTCCCATCAAAGGAAATTAAATAAACATGACTTGTACTTACTGGCCCTATGGGGAGTAGTAATCACTGCTTATTGTAGTAGTTAAGAGGCCAGGATTTGATGTCAGAAAGACCTGGATTTGAAGTCCAATGGCAACACCTGTTAACTGTGTAAACTAGGCCAACTATTTGAAAAATGGGTGTTGTGGGGAGTCAGTAGACGTCAACTATCATCATTTATCTTATCCCTATCCCTCTGACAACCCATTCTAGATATGTCCAACACTGACAAGATCTATAGTTTGATATGAACAGTTTAAGGGATGCTTGTAAAAGTACAACTTTTTAAACCTCACTTGCAAGTTCTCTTATTAAACAAGGGAGTAGTTTACTCAGGCAAAAAGACATTTATTTAAAATAGCTACAGTGAATTTACTACCCATTGACCTATCTTCAATTCAATTCTCTTTTGCCCATTTTTTATCTATTCTTTTTCATCTGAAGATTATTCTACTTGATAATCAAAAGAAAAAAGATCTATTTCTTAACAGTCTCACTATCCTCCCAAAAGAAAAACATCGCTTCTGCTAACTTCAGCATTCCCAGCCAGCCTGAGGGCTCTTGGAGATTCAGCATCCCTGCACACTCCTACAGGTCTGGGCCACATTCTTCTTCGTCTTCTCTACCTATCCCTCTGCAGTTAAATCAGTCGCTACCAACTTTCTTCCATGTGAGGATCCTTTACCATTAAAATGTAAGGATTACGTTTCTGAATTTCTGACCCTATATTATGGTCTTTCTTTAACAGTATTGTAGTGGATTGAATTATGTTCCCCCAAAACTCACTGAAGCTTGAATTGTGTCCTCCTAGAGTTAGACTGAATCAATAGGCAGTGATAAAAGAGTCAGAAAAGGAAGCAGTAGTGAAAACTAGTTTTCATATTATGATATGCTCAGTGGGTCACCTTTTCATTTTAAAATGGCAGTCCCAGAACTAAGCAAAAAGAAGCTCCATGTGTAATGTATTGCAAACACAAATAATTTTGCAAATAATGTATTTAGTTTTAGAAAAGAAACAAAAGCTATTGCCTGCTCTGCAAGATTTTGACTTTTATGACCTATGATCAAATGAAAGTAAATTATAAGAGCCATAATAAAGGAAAACACGGACAAAATTTCTTAAGTTATTTTTAAAAACAGAAATGAACATAATTTTAATATTTTATATGAGGGTAATTCAAACATTTTATGGAAAAATAGAATTAAAAGGTAATACAAATCTTTCAAAGAACTTTTTGAATTATTCCCATATTTTAAATATCTTTCTCTTCTTGACAAAATTAAAATAAGTGGCATTTCTAACTAGCTAAATCTAAATATGTATAGTTACCAATCTGTATGTTGGCAATAGATTCAGTCTGACGATCACAAAGTGGACTCACACCCAAACGATACTTTTTTTCTATATCACCTATAAATTAAAAAAAGAGACAGAATTAATAATATGGAATGCATCCATTGGTTAAATATATATATATTCTTTTTTTTTTCTTTTGAGGCTGGTTGGTACAGGGATCCAAATCCTTGACTTTGGTGTTATAACACTGTGCTCTAACCAATTGAGCTAACTGGAGAGCCTATTGGTTAAATGTATAATTAAAGCCTTCATCATACCTGTAAATTCTTTTTTTTTTTTTCCTTTTTTCCTTTTTGTCTCTTTTCGTGTCCGGCAACGGATCACAACCCTCAGTGTAGCACCCGTACCGGACCAGCCTATTGGTTAAATGTATAATTAAAGCCTTCATCATACCTGTAAATTCTTTTTTTTTTTTCCTTTTTTCCTTTTTGTCTCTTTTCGTGTCCGGCAACGGATCACAACCCTCAGTGTCGCACCCGTACCGGACCGGACCGGCAACGGGATCGCAACCCTCAGTGTTGCACCCGCACCTCACTCAGCCAGTGAGCGGGAACCGGTCTGTATGTGGGATCCGAACCCTTGGCGGGAGTGCCGCCGTGCTCCCAAGCGGTGCACCGTAGCAGTGCGCCACCGGGCCGGCCCCATACCTGTAAATTCTTTAGGAAAAACAGACTTAATCCTCATGAGAGGACAGTGTCTTGATTAGTTCTTTTTTAAATTTTTAAATTATTCACTCATAGAAAAGACTACCAATCTGATATCTTTATTTAAGTGAAGGAAGTAGAAAATATTTACTAGCTGGTACCCCAAGACTGTAATTCTGTCAGCATTTTAATTTACAACTTAGATTTTTTAAAGGAAGGTATGTTCAATGAAGGCGCTTGGATTCTGGCTTTAAATCACAAGACAATGTCTTACATATTCATACGGCCATGCCCTCTGACAAGACAAGAATGAAGCAAGTGCATGGAAATCTTTCTGTACAGTAAAATTTCCAGCCTGATCTATGTATATTCATAAATGCATATATACATGTGGTCTACTAATTTTCAAAACAGATGCTTAGTTCGTACATTATTGATTATATGTACATCTACTGTGAATTGTCACTAAAAATATCAAGCACCTTACTGCTAAACTCATAAGTGGTTGAGTTTTTATTTGTTCTTATGATGCTAACAAATAAACTGAATAGATTATTTGCAATATTGTAACTTGCCTTGATGAAAGAATTCCTCTGTTACTTTTTCACTCCACTGCTTGCTTAATTCCCAGGTCCGACATGGGTTACAAATATCAGCACATTTCAAAGCCATCTAGCAAACAAAATATTAAAATTGTTCTAAGAAAAAAAAGTAAAATCTGAATTGTACTAAGTTTAAATAATACTCTAATAGTGGAAAAAAGAACACTTTAAAAAAAGAGAATACATATTGCAACAAATATTCATTGTCTTTTATATTAATTTTATGATGTTATTGGCTCTACCCATTGCTTTTTGCAGAAATGCTGATGAAGAGGCTGTAAGACTGCTAATCTAATTATACATGCTTGCTAATACCAAGGAGCCAAGCACAAGGACTGGATGAACCATAAAATATAAACAAATAAGCTATAAATAAATAATTCATTTCTCTCTCCCATTTTTTATATGTGAGAATTTATTAGAACAAAACGCTGTTTGTTGATTTACATCCTAAATCTTGCAGAAATTGTTTTCATCAGAAATCTTGAGTATGAAAACTACTAAAGCAATGGTGCCTTCACAGGTAGCAGATCCACCAGTGATCTCCTTCAGGAAACCGTGTGTACTAATTGAAGGAAACACCTCACCTTTCCCTCAGGATTTAACCAATCTGAAAAACTATACTAGAATATTTCATTTTTATTCTAATACTCACATGATTTACCCTAGAAATAGAATCTTTCCAAGCCCCATTTTACCTGTAAAACCAAATGCCTATGTCTGGTGTCTTCTAGGCATAAGTCACCTCTATCCAAATGGGACCTAAATAATGACAGATATTCATTCTGACGACTGATGTCTGTGGCTAGTATCAAAGCACCTATCTGAGTCTCCATTTGTTGCCTGGAATTGGAGAAATATAAAGAGAAAATGTTAGGCTTTCTATTAAATAATTACTTCTTGATATTTTTTCTTAACCTTAATACTTGAAAAGCTTTATACAGCCCTAAGATATTCTAACTGCCATTCAACTTAAAATTTATCACAAAAAAAAGAATTTAAAAAAATGCATCAAAAAACCATTAAAATAATCAAAACTGAAACCAAGAGAGTTTGTAGAAAAATGCCAATATGCAAACATTTTAAAAGGAGTGCATTAATTTTGCCAGCCAAGGTGGAATTATTTGCTTAAAAAAAAATCGATAAACATTGGTATGTTGTTTGAGAAAATTCTTTGCTGGAAAACTCTTGTGGTGAGGGTAAATAACTTTGGTTTCTTTTTTAGTTTCTAAGATCTGAAAGGCAGAAGATTCAAATGGAGAGAATAAAAGCCCATTCAACTGACTCCTACAGACATTCTGACTAAGATGTCTGATGACATTCCACTAAACAATTTAATAAAAGATAGATTCAACTGTATTTTCAGGGTTAAACTCAAGAACCAATCAGTCATCTGTATACGAATATCCAAATTCTCTGGAAGGAAAAATGTAACCTGTTAGTACAAATAGCAAATACACTATATCATTTTAAAAACTGCCTCCAGTCAAACAACAAGAGAAATGCACTTTTAAAAAAAATTCCTGCCTGTTGTTTTAATGGGCTGTAGCAAATGCTATCTTTGTATAATGATCAGTAAAAAGCAGTAAAGATTAAAAGCCTCACAAATGAAAACCCTAAATGAAGAAAACATAAAAGAATATTAAATAAAATTCTAAATGAAGAAAAACTAAAAGAATGCTATTAAGTAGTATTCCTTATTTTAGTTTTTATTTTCATTAAATCTGAGAATTCAACAGTGTTAATCATCAAATACAAAACATGATTAAAAGGGAATAATGAGGCAAACATTTTAATCCGCCTTAATAAAAAAAAAACCCATAATTTCTATATACAAACACTGTATGGTTTAAGCTGTTTTTATATTTGTACTGCAGCAAGAAATGATTTTACTTACAAGAAATATTGTCATACTCCAAATGGTATCAATGAATAAAGATTTTTAAAAATAAAAAATAAAGTCCAGCTTTTTTCTTATGGTTGTTACAAGAAACACTCATTTTTTATACAGTTGTTTTAAATTAAGAAAGGGAAAGGATAGAACAGTGAGTAATATGTAAATTTTAATACCCAAACGTATTTTCGCATCTCACCATTTTGCTTGACTTGGATGGTTTCCATCCACTTCCTTGGTTTTCTGAGGGCATCTTCCCTCAGTGCAGCATTAGTAGCAAAAGCTTTTGTTTGTGGACCACATTGAGGCAGTGATGTGAGGTTTTTGTTAACCTCTTCCATCATCTTGGGTTTATTTACATAAACGCTTTTTATTAGGCTCTTAAATGGGCTGCTTAACATTAAATATTTTTTTTATAAAATATTAGTATTTTCTGTTGTTCTTTCTCTATTATTTTCTCCTGTAGCTCCAGAAGTGACTCCAGGACTATGCTATTGAACATATAAAACACACTCTTTACTTTCTTTATCAATTTTGAAAACTATTTTCTGTTGTTCTTTCTCTATTATTTTCTCCTGTAGCTCCAGAAGTGACTCCAGGACTACGCTATTGAACATATAAAACACACTCTTTACTTTCTTTATCAATTTTGAAAACTCCCTGACAGATTTTAACGAATCTATTTATTATACAGACTGTTTACTTTCCATCAAATTTACCTTTATACCTAGACCTTAAGGTTTTATTCAGAGTATAAAGTGAAAATATGTAATACCTATGTATGTAAGTAAGTAGTAACCATGACTGAGCCACTGTGTATTTGGAGTGTATTCAAATCCATGGGATGGTCTTTCATAAAAATAAATATTCACTAAATTATTACTAAGTACTGTAGAACAGGTTTAAATTATTAAAATTTTAATTCAAACTTTAAAAAAAAGATATTTATCCATTAAATTTAACGAAAACTGTGGAACAACTGAACATAACAACAATTTTCAAAACTTTGTAAAATACTTTGCCAACTTAATTTCCATAGTTGATAACAAATTAAATTTGTCTTAATCCAACCTACCTGCTTTCTAATGGCATATGTGAGAATAAACCAGATTCTCTCAATAAGCCCACCGCGGATCTCCAGTGGTGATTTTCTAGTACTGAGGTATTCTAGAAAAAAGTACGTTTCTGAGTTATTTAATAGTTAAGTTTCTTTCAGAATGTAAAGAATTATTTGTTAGTAATATTAATCTGGTTGAAATTCTAATATTGATTGAGAATTTGTTTTCATTCCTCATTTCTTCGAAACATGAAACATTTTCTAGAATGCAAAAATGTTCTATTTTGATGATAAAATTGCACTGACCTTGTATAAAGTTGCCAAGTAATGGTTAGTTTTAATAAGGAAAGGTTGATTAACACCTGGATGATCCAGATCATGAGTGGCAGCTGCAATTAAGCTCAGCAAGATATCCCAAGGAGTTACAGAATTGGCAAGCTAAAGTGTGACAAAGAACAATTAATCATAAACATTTATGAAACAAACTCAACACTATTATAATAGTTTTGAATTAGCAGCCAAGGGTAGTGTTGACAGTCTCCTCCCCACTCCTGTTGTTTTTATAGGTGGACTGTTCGTTAATGCCACCAAGCGCCTGCCAGGTGCTGGCCTCATCATGACACTGGCGTAGGCATGACTGACAGAATCCCTGCCCACACGGAGTTTACAGAGCTCATCCTTAGACTGTTTCATTTTTAACAAACTTAATTAAAATGGTAGCTAAAGCATAACCATTCTTTTTGAGAAATAATGGCTTGAAAATGACAAACACAGGTATGCATATTGTTTTTATTGCAGCCATTGCCAAACAGAAGACCTATAACTTGGGAAGTGTTTATCAACAAATTGATTATTGGATTTAAAAAATATGATTTAAAATGAAAGGTTATTCCTGTAGTCCTAATGTTTAAGGACATTGTTGAGTAGCCATGTGAGCAGAAGTCTAATAAAAGCCTTTCCCAATAGATAAATACATTCAGAACAATGGACACAATGTATTCATGTCAGAAAACACAATCTTGTAAACTAGCAGTTATAATTTTACTCTCAATAATCATTTCCAAACTTATTTGACATAATAAAATAATCACAATAAATAAAAGTTTATTATTAGCTGACTGAAATTTTCAGTGATAAAAAACTACCACCCTGAATGTATCATCTGCTTTTCATAAATCACCCCTCATTTTCTGGCAAACTTGTACTTATCTTTTAAGTTCCAACTCCACTGACCCACCCTCCTTGTTCTCTGCTTCCAGCCCCTGCCCCAGCAAGGACTGATCTGTGTTCTACAGCACTTCACACGTCTTGTCACAATAACACTCATCAGAGCATGCTTTTCTTTAGATGTAAAAGAGGACAACAGTGGCTCCCTAAATTTTTATGATCTTTTGCCCTAACTGAAAAATTTTGAGCATACACCATCAATACAGGTATATTTACTTACAGATTATAATCTGTAATATTATATACTGAACTACATATATAGCATATTGTAAAACAAAGATGAAAATTGAAAGTTTTAAAAATATGAGATTAAAAAATATAGATTAAACTTTTATTATTTTCTTTCTATGCCAGAATGGATCATCTTTTTCTACAACCCTGTGGTAAGTTCATCTCAGTCAGAAAAATCACTGTCTGAGAGCTTGAATCTCCTGGAAAACTGTAAACTATCTAAAGACAGAGAATGTGTATTATTTATTTTTGTAGGACATGCAAAAGCATCTTAAAAATAAAGATTTTTTAAAGCACTGCTTACTAATCAAGATTAACAGAAGGCATGCAAAATGGAGCATACTGCATATAAAGCAACTTCTCTTCCTTGACATATAAATGAATGGGCATGGGTGTGTATATTTTATGAACATGTAATTTATTAAGCAATATGTAAAAGTTTTATATTCTTGTGATAACTAAAACAGAATGAAAGTGGCAGAAGAATAGACACATACCATCCTGGGAGAATACAATAATCCATAATTAGACTTATTAGAAAAACGAATGTATGACTACATATGACATCAAACAATCTCAGGTAGGTTAAAGAGTTAACCATTAAAAACAGAAACATGAGAAGCAACTAAATTTTTAAAAATTTGTAGAAAGAAAAGTAAGTCTGAAAACACAAATACAAAAAAAGAAAAATTTGACTCTATAAAAATGTAACATTTCTCCTTGTAAAAATAAATCTTCATGAGTATTAAAACAAAGACGAGGAATTCAATGACATTAATACAACTTTTTAAAGTGGATTTTAAAAAAGACAAATGTTATTTCCATCCTGTGGTTATATCTAGTAAAACCCAGCAATAAAGAAGAGTTGTGTGAAGAAGAAACTGCAAGTCATTTAACATCTGTGGAGGTTGGACTGCAATTGCATCTGCAAAGTTATCAGGGCCTTTTTCAATAAAACCAAAAACTATTAAATAGTGAGCTTCCCTGTGTTCAACAAAAAACTTGTTTTCATTGTTTGCTATCATTATGCTGATTTCCCACTGTAATGGTTATTACAAGTGTCTAATTCATTTAATACAAGACTTTAATCAATTTCAGAATAATTTTAGCAGCTGTGATGTAGCAAAATGTGAAAAAATAACTAATAACTGAAATTAAAATGCAAACTAGGAGGGCTGGCCCGTGGCTCACTCGGTAGAGTGCGGTGCTGATAACACCAAGGCCACGGGTTCGGATCCTATATAGGGATGGCCGGTTTGCTCACTGGCTGAGCGTGGTGCTGACAACACCAAGCCAAGGGTTGAGATCCCCTTACCGGTCATCTTTTTAAAAAAAAAAAAAAAATGCAAACTAGGGAAAATATTTTGTAGGAAATGACAAAGACCTAGACACACATTTCCCTAAAGAGGAAATACAAGAAAAAAAAAAATCTAAGCTCAAAATTGACCCAAACAAGTAAATTAAAGTGAGAGTTTTTTCCCTGCTAAATTGCCAAATCAAAAATATATATCTAATAGCAGAAAGAAGGTAACTGAGATACTCTCTTTTTGAGGGTAAAAATAAATTGGTACTATCATAAAGAGACTAATTTAGTGAGATAAAATATACAGATTCTGGATATATTATGTCAGTCCTGAAACTTATTAAGAAAAGAACCTCCCACATACAAAAAGGAAAAGCACAGGGAGGTATTTGTAGCATTAGCTGTAACATTAAAATCAGGCACAATCTAGAGGTCTAAAAACAGAGAACTAATACAGTTAAAGTGAACCTACTCAATTATAAAGACCATACTGCAACATCCATTTGCTAACACAACTCATGTTTACTGAGCACCTAACAACGTGCCAGCACTATTCTAAGAGACAGGTGTATACATTAATGAATGGACAGACAAAAATTCCTGCCCTGGGGGGGCTGACATTCTTATGGTTTCCACATTAGGTTCCAGTATGTTCCATGACTGAGATTCCAGAGGTCAAAATTTACTTCTTATACACAGTTTTTGTCATCAGCAACTAGCATGTCGCTAGGCATATACTTGGTACATGAATAAAGGTACATCCACAAGAAAAGAAACTCAACCATCATCAGTCTTGCTGGCCTCGAGAGGGACGTGGGGGCCAAGCTCTCATTTCAACTTTCAGGGACAAGTAAACAAGGTTTAAAGGTTCAGTAGGTTTGCTTATCTCTGGAACATGTATAAGTATAATTTTTATCCGGGCCTAGTTTAAATACAGTTATTCATTAATTTAAACTCAAATGTAAACATGAGAACAAACATTAAAATAGGAAATGGAAAAATCACAACCTCCCCAGCTGACAACTATAAATGTTATTACTGTCAATAAATCAAGAAAATATCAGGCTTAACTGGAACAAAATGCTTTATAATCTATACAAATTCAGCTTTGAGGACACAAAAAAATAGATATTAAAGTTAAAGATGATGCATATACAGACGGCCCAAAAAAATAGATATTAAAGTTAAAGATGATGCATATACAGAGAGAAGGATCTGTTCTCTAAGTTCTCAGTATTTTCTTGGGCTTGGAATATTTCTTGTTTTCATTTACAGAAGAGTCCAAGAATTAGCTCTTAATATAAATCATAAGGTATAAAAATTGAAAACAAATTTCTCACTAAATACAAGTATATATATTGAAGCCTTTCTACTTACTACTCCCTCTACACCTGGATTTTTCTATAGCTGACTCCTCAGTTATGCACTTTCACCTTAAGTGGTTTCTGACTACTCTACCTAAAGTTGCAAACTCTTGCCATCCACCCAGTCACTCTCCAGCACATTACTCTATTTTGGTTTCTTCATAGCAGTGATTACTGCAGTACAGATCAAAATTCTATTTATCTGTTTGTTTAATGATTGCCTCCCCTATTAGGATGTAGGCTTCACGAAGCCAGGGGCCTTTCCCGCCTTGTTCACCACTACATTCCTAGCACCAGGACAGTGTCTGGCATGTAACAGATGCTCAATGAATGTGTACTAAGTTAATGACAACGCTCAATAATGGGATGCTATGTGAAGGCCGAGGAAATAAAAGTGATACAAACTTAAAGTTTCCAATTTTTTACAATTCACTTCAAAAACTTTGACTCTGTTTCTATATGATAACTATAATAAGGAAAAAGAGAGCTGCTTGCATCTTAAGGCTTAGTGGTTTGATCTGTATCCTTAATTGAAGCTTTGGCTAGAATTCACTGAGTATGTTAATGATGAAAAATATTTAGAAGATACATAGGCAAAAAGTGTTTAAAATCACATTTGTATTCATTTTTGTCACAGGCCTCCCACACTTCTTGCCTGGCATTACCTGTTTCCTTGCCCCTGGCTGCTCCGGTTGGGTGTGGCCAGTGGGAAAAGCCTTCACTGACGAGTTAGGCCTCCTCTGCACCCCACAGACTCATCTCCCTCATTCCATTTACAAGACTGTATTGTATGTTGGTTACTTACAGTTTCTCCCACAAGATTCTCAAACAGAGGTTTCAGTCTTGGCCCCAAGTTTTTAAAAAATTTAACTAAAAATTGGGGCACTTGGGAGTATACTTTTGTTAAAATTATACACACAAAAGTTATTTATTTTATTACTGCATTTAAGTTATATGACAATCAAGTTGACTTAAAAAAATGATACATATACTAAAATAACTCAGGCCTTTTCACATATTCCACAATTCCTTTAAAAATCAGAAGACTGACGGAGGTCTCAAGTCAGCACCAACCGGCAGGGACTGGTTTAGCCAGCTGCCTCACTCCTGACATCCAGCCAGAAGGAAGAGCCCAGAGGAGGTCTAGAGGTAGGCAGCCACCCAGCTAGAGGTAGGTAGCAGGCAGAAGCTCCAGGGAGAGGAAACATGCACGGGCAAACAGATGTGCATCTCAGCTCTGACTTCTCTCCTATACTTCAGACTCTTATCCAACTCTCTACTAGACTTCTCCATTTGGATGCTGCACAAATACATCTCACTCCGCACATCCGGACTGGAACGCTTCATCCCCACCAGCCCAACCCCCACACTCGCTCCTCTTTCTCCACTCCTCCTCTCACTGAAGACTTCCACCTTCCACTGAACTGCCCAAACCAGTCTTCATCGACTCCTCCATTTCTTTCCCCCAGACACATTCAAACACCACACCCTGTTCATTCTAATTCCCAAGAGATCTTACAAACCATCCACTTCTCTCCCTCCCCAAGCCACCCTGATCTCTGTCATGGAGCACTGAAATAGCTCCTGGCAGGCATTCATGCTTAGGGTCTTGTCCGATTCATTCTCACACTACAGCCAGGATAATTTTCTAAGTATCCTGCTTCCATTCTGTAGCTCCCCATTCATTTTCTGAGCCAGACTGAGGCTGTCCCTGCCCTCATGCTGCTCATGTGGAACTCAGCGTAAATGCCAAACGTTGTCACACATTGTTCAAGGTTTCAAGTGATCGGGGCCTTGCTTGGACTTCTCCAGCCTCTCTCTCAACAATCACCCCAACTCTGGTTGCTGAATTTACAAATATAGCCACATTTAGCAATTTGATCGAGCTAGATCTCATTCTTACGAAGGAAGCTTCTGATTTTGAGTAAAGTCACTAATGTAAGGAAAAGTATTTGAAAGTAAATCACAAGGAATTTTCTTACGATCTTCACCTTATGTAAATGAACCCCTTACCTTAGGTTCTTTTAAGTAACAGTGCATGGCCTGAGTAACGTCTGCAGCATGGACTGCATTGTGGTAGGGATTTTGACTGTGGTAATCTTCTTGAATCATAACTGCATCAAAGAAAGAAGACCCCAATTTTACTGAAAATGGGACATATGTACAAGTACGAAACTGTGATAATTATGAATTAACCATTCACACGCTTCATGTAGCTATCAGCTAAAATTTTCCAAATTCAGAGAGATGATAATCACCTCACAACTAACACATATACCCAAAGAATCAATACCAACCTGACTCCTAACTTGTTTGAAAATTTTTTCAATAAGAACATATTCATGTCAAAATTGTAAAATAATTTTTTTTTTCTTTTTCTGTTTTTTTTTTTTTTTTCCTTTTTGTCTTTTTTCATGACCGGCAACGGATCGCAACCCTTAGTGTCGTGCCCGTACCGGCCCGGGACCGGCAACGGGATCGCAACCCTCGGTGTTGCTCCCTGCACCTCGCTCAGCCAGTGAGCGGGAACCGGTCTGTATGTGGGATCCGAACCCTCGGCGGGAGCGCCGCCACACTTCCCAAGCGGCGCACTGTAGCAGTGCGCCACCGGGCCGGCCCCCTTTTTCTGTTTTAAACTATGAATCTATCATGGAGCCAAGTTTCAATAAGAACATATTCATGTCAAAATTGTAAAATAATTTTTTTTTTCTTTTTCTGTTTTAAACTATGAATCTATCATGGAGCCAAGCTCTTCTGACTTGTTTTAATTTTAAAAGTTTCTCAGTTTGATAAAAACAGTACAATTCACTCAACAAATATTTACTGCCAGGTACTGTTCTAGGTACTAGAAATTCAGCAGTACACAAAAGCTAGCAAAAATCTTTATGAAGCTAAAATAGTACAAACACTGGGCTTTATGAAAATGACACAATGTGTGCATCACGGTTTTGGATCTGGAATTAGGTTTTCAGTACTAGGGGAGGGCTTTTGTTAATCCTGCCTTCTAGCTCAGTGCCTGTTGTGCTACCATGGAAGAGCAGCAGATTAGGATTAGGGGAGTCATGCCCCACCATCAATCCTGAACTATGGCCCCAATGGCATCACACTAATCCAGTGGTCTCTAAGGAATGTGAGCCTGCCCTAAGCGGGGGGAAATATAACCCACTAGCGTGGGAAAGAGCACTAGAATTCTGCATGTAGTTTGATCCTGTCCTTTATGATAGCCTTTTTAAACACCCTTGTTAATATCTATTTTTATATTTCATAATTTATATATTAGTACAGTGTTACAGGCATACTACTTATAAATAAATATGCATTAAAAAGTTTCTCAAAAGTCCTAGGTAATAAATGTATCTTACTTTGGTACTTAAGAGGAAAGAAAATGTTATTTTCTTGCTTTTAAAAAAAAAGGATAAGAAAGAATTCTCATACTGCTTAATTTTTTCTAAAATATTTCTTTACGTGGTGAAATACTGTAAATTTTTTCCTAGCAGATCAGTATCATGTAAATACTCTGCACATTTAAACATATTCAGAATAATCTTTAAAGTCTACTGTCAAGAGATTTCAGGGATCTGAAAAAAAAAGACACCTAAGGGCAATACACCTGATCTTTTAAAGTTTTAGCCTTCAAAAATTTAGAAAAGTAAAGAAATTATGTCATCTTTGTCAACAAGTTGTGGCCGATCTAAAAGACTGATTGCAAAATCATCCCAGTTCTTCACAAGTCCCTGTATCTGTGGCTCTGAAACTTTGCAGCTTTTCCATTGAGAGGCACAGGTTCATTCTCCAGTCTGATTTGCTTTGGCTGACAGCACTCTGCAGACGCGAAAATGGGCCAGTTCTGAGCCTGGGGCTCCAGAGGCCTATACACATCAGCTCTCTCGGCAATCTGCCACTGCTGTTCAAACAAGATCAGCTTACAGTAAAATAATAATTCTTTCTTTTCTATTTTTAATCTATTATGGTACCAAACTCCTCTGTCTCCTTTTAATTCTATAGGAGACCATGTAGAGCCAACCTGGGTCAGGAGCAGGGTCTCAGCTGAGGTCCCAGCCAAGCCCTGCTAAGCTCACGTGCAGCTCACCTGTTGCTCACTGCAGGTACACAAACTAGCTCAGACAGGCCAGAAGAAGCATTCTATAGCCCCACAGATGCACAGCTAAATAAATGTGTGTTTTAAGCCACTAATTTTGGACTATTTGTTATAGAGCAATAACTAGCAAAATTTAAACAAGTTCTTATATAAATATTTTTACTGTTAAATTTAGAATCACTTACCTAAAAATCTACGAAGTTTCATCATATCTAAATGGAAGTACTCAATTAATCCATGAAGACTAAATAAATGAAAGGTTAAGCTTACTAGACTATTTCCTAAAAAGAAAGAAAAGATATTACATTAGTAGGAAATACAGCTAAAATGATTACATTGTGCTTTCAAACAAAAATTTCCAATATAAAATTTCCAATATGGAGAGCACTAATTCCTACTTTTTGTCTATCTAAAATTTGCGTCTAATTTTACCAGTTATGAACTTCTTTAAATGTAACATCTTTGTTTTACTCTAAGAAAAAATGAATTTTTGTTGTTTCAGTTTTCCACAACCACAGAACTGAAAAATTAGCATTTTCAAATAGATTAATTTTTTAAAAAGACATTCAACTTTCCAAAGCACCTAAAATACGGCTGCACTTAACCTCTTCTCCTAACATCCCCTCTACCAGTGTATACACAGATATTTTAGAATGTATATGTATATTTAGGTTATCATAGGGTTCTCCCCAAACTATTTTCCAAACCTAACAAAACAAATTATTAATTTCTAGGGTCTAGAATAAGTTTTAAGAAAGCTACCATCTAATGGGAAAATACCCTCTTCTGGAATTCAGGCAAACTACAGTAAGGGACACATGTACTGCCCATTCCCCCACCCCAACTAAAAACGTTAAAGGAATCTGACAAAAACCAGTCTATTAAATTGTACTGCCCATATCAAATTGGAAAACTGCATGCAACATTATTTTCTCTTTCAGTTCACAAGACACCAACTGAGTATTTTAATACAAGTGAATAAGAACACAAGTCAATGAAACACTTCAAAATGAGATGCTTAGTTGTGTTAAACAGAAAACAGGCACACAACTTTTTTTTTTAATGGAAATGGAAATAAACACTTTCTTGGAAAAGAAAAATATATTTACAAAAAAAGTTACCCTCATTAAAATATACCAAAGGATAGGACTGCCTAATGTGTAGTGGTGCTCAATAGTTTTCAGAAAGTAATCCTGGATGGGAGCTGGCAGGATTAGGCTATCACCACAACACAGGCCTGGGGACTAGTGTCCTCATAAACCAGGCAGCTTTCAGGGATAACAAGTCATATCTTGCTATCTAACTCTCATCCCTGTAAAAGGAACATCAAATGCATCCTACCAGACAATAACTAATTTCCTTCTTGGATCAGACAAGCTGGGGGACTTCTGTCTTGGCATGAAGCACTGAGTTTTATCTCTTTACTCTTCCTTGTCTTCCCCCCACTATCATCTGGGAAATACCAGAGTAAGAAATATAAGAAAGTACTGGATCAATAAGCAAGAAGAGAAAACTGTACACTTGGATACCATGGAAATATATCTTCCAAAATTCATTTCGGGCTAAGCAGTTTTGAAAGGAAATCTGTTCTAATTACATAATGCAAGTAATTGTCTTCTGCCCATTGCTCCCCAATAATCTCTCTTCAAGTAGAGAATTCTTACAACTTTCAGGTAGCTGTGGTTAGCTGAAGTATATATCGCCACCTGTAAAATCAAAGGTGGGTAGCTAAACATGGATGGCTTCTACTAACCCCTAATTACCTGCAATCAAGCCTAAGAAGAAACCTTTCAACCACCCTCTCCAAAGACTCAGTTCCAGGGGTGAGGCAATGAATGGAAAGGCAGAGTGCTCAGTTAACTAAGTAGACTGGTGGTCATTACTGCTATCCATGCTACACACTGTCAAGATCACTTCACTTTCATCACCAAGCCCCCTGAATAGCAGGGTAGATACCTTTTAAAAATAAAACTTAGAGAAGAACAATCAACCATTCCAATGAGTGACAAGCATCCCAGTAGACTAATAATAGGCTATGAGCTGTTGGAGTTCATCTAAAGCTAAACCTTGAGGGTGACAGGGTAGCATTGTTTCATCTACATTTATCTTGAGATACCTAAAGTGATATTTTGTTGAGTTAGGAAAGAGGGGTTTCCCAGATTTAGAAGAAGGTGGACCACCTGGTATTTCCTGACCTGTACTTTCAAAAAGGAGAATGCCAAGGGGACGGCCACTTTGTAAATGATATTAGCCTTTCCTGTGTCAATGGGCCAAGGTGGGGGCAAGGAGAGGCACAGAACACTTAAACTCCAAACACCAAAGGGCAAGGAAAGATGGAAGAGAAAGAGAACAGGAAAAGAACAGAAAGGCAGGGAAGTAAGAGGGTAGCTTTGCTGGCACAGGCAAACTTCACTGTCTTCACAATTTTGCCTAGGATCAGTCTAATGTATCTTCTGTCAACAGTGCATAGACAATTAGAAGGTATTTTTGCTAAGCACTGCCATGCAGCTTAGAGGGAGTAATGTAGTGATACTAAAAGAGCCACATTGGTCATCAAGATAAAAGTTGTATTTGTTTGTCCATTTTACATATTTTGCTTCTTCATGAAAAAAGCTTCATTCCAAAGTGAAATAAGAAAAAGAAGATGATTTCAAAGTACAGCAGAACCACACATTTATTTCATCATTCTAAACATTCAGAACTGACTTCTTCTCAATGACTTCTTCTCAATGTACTTTCTACTCTCCTTCATTTTTAAAGGTATTGAGACAAAATGCGCAAAAACTAGTTGAACTACATGTACCACCATGAATTAGGCCGAAAATTTCACCCTAAATAAAAGTGATTCCCAAAGGGAATCTTGCTCCTATTCCCAAGGAGAATAAAGAAACCTTCCCCCCAAACAAAACTGAAAATGCCCCCCCCCCCCAAGCAAAACTAAACTCAGGAGGTGGTAAGCAGATCAGAATCACTTGAGGGCATTTTTTTTTTTCCTTAAATCATTCATACTCTCCGTAGATTCTAATAAGCCCTCTTAAAGAAGCTACAAGCTCTTCGCATCCCACCAAGGGCAAGCAGTGCCAGAGGGAACCATTGGAAAAAAAAAACCCCCCCCCCAAAAAAAACCGAAAAACCCCCCCCCCCCCCCAAGCAAAACTAAACTCAGGAGGTGGTAAGCAGATCAGAATCAGTTGAGGGCATTTTTTTTTTTCCTTAAATCATTCATACTCTCCGTAGATTCTAATAAGCCCTCTTAAAGAAGCTACAAGCTCTTCGCATCCCACCAAGGGCAAGCAGTGCCAGAGGGAACCATTGCTGCTGATCATCACATGCCACATCTCTCAAGTGTACAGAGAAAGAAAACCCTGAGAACCACAATGCTACAAGAGAGGCTGCCTCTCAAAAGATACTGAATCCACTATGCATCTGGGGTTATCAAAACAGGAATATAATATCAGAAGGTGTCATTGTAAATGGCCACAATCTAAAAGAAGCCAAAAAAGAAAAATCAGAACATAATGAGATAATAATGTTCACTTTGGGTTATTAATAACGGCAGCACTGATTGCCAATCAGCCAAGTCATGATCATGATAATGACTTTTGATTACTGCTAACGGTAACAATCAAAACACAAAATTATGAGACTGATTCTCTAAGCTTTTAGAAAAGTCACTAAAAAAGGTACAAAACATTGCTCACTCTGCCAGCAGAGGGCTCATAACCTAGGTCAATGAAAGCAACAACCCACCAGTGGCTGTACCATCAATGCAGTGATCTAGAGACTACATTAACTTGAATAGGTCAAATTCTTCACTTACCATTTGTTAGTCTATCAAATAGAAAGATATCAAAATTCCAATTTCCAACTTTTTCCAGCATACACTGAAATGAAAACCAAACATTCCTACTGTAATTTAATTTCAATAACATTCTCTGTTTTGAAGATAGTCCATAGAGAAGTTAATGAAAATGGACAGCGATTGATTTACTTTAAGAAATACCAAATATTATTCTCCTTTTAATAATGACTTTTCCAATTGGCTCCAAAAAATGTCCAAAGGAATAAATTTCTTTTGAAAATTTAAATTTTTTTTGTTTTTCAATTAGTAAATACACAGGTAAGGTTAGTGTTTCTTTCAACTTATTTGTATAGTCCCACAAACTCTCAAGAATTCTAATATAATTTAACATCATAGAAGTGTAGTTCATATGTGGCATGGTCTAGAAACTAGATTTTAACAATTTAGTAAAAATAAGTTATAATAGCTACTGAGTACTAGTATACTCCAGGTACTGTTATAAGTATCTTACTTACTTTTTTACCACTTATACTACTAACACTATCAAGTAGAAGTACTAGTATACTCCAGGTACTGTTATAAGTATCTTACTTACTTTTTTACCACTTATACTAACACTATCAAGTAGGCATTGTTTTCAATCCTCATCTACCAGATGGGGAAACAGGCAAAAAGTGACTAACTTGCTCAGATAGAAAGTGTGAGAGCTGGGATTGTAAATCAGGCAGTCTGATTCTGAAACCCAGGCACCTGACACTGATACTGTACCACGCTTAAACTGTCACTCCTTTTTTTTAAAAAAAAGCTTCCAATTTAAGGGATATTTTTTGTACTCTTTAGATATCTTTATAAAATAATTGATAGAATTTACTGCTTTAACTTTTAGAATGATGTGTACTTCAGTCAAGCAAATAAATACACAAAGGCCCTAAAAACCAAATATTTTTACAGTACATTTTCTTAACCTGAACATTTTGGGGACTTTTTCAGAAAAAACTTTTATTTTGCATCCAAAAGATCATTGTTTGTATACATTTACGAATAAATTGATAAGCAACACCAAGATACTACTATTAGATTATTATCATAGTACTAATGACCAATGATAG